ATTTCAGGCGGAGGGCCTCTTGCTGAGTTTTGGCAAGCCACTGAGGGCCGCATGACAGGAAGCCAGAGGCAGATAAATATTAATTTTCTAAATTTTTTAGGTGCCCCCCCGAGGGCTGGATAGAATGGCCTGGCAGGCTACAACTGTCCTGCGGGCCTCATTTTGCCCACCCCTGGCATATACCATGGCTAGGCAGTGGAAAATTTCACCTGCCATAGCCAGGCAGTCTGGAGGCTTTGCCCTGCCACAGCCAGGCAATCTGAAGGCTTAGCCCGCACCACAGCCAGGCAGGGAGCAATACCTATGTTGTGACAGGAGCTTTGCCAGCCACAGCATGAGGAGAAGCTGAACACCTGGTGTCCTAGCACTGGCCTGGTTCAGAGTCAGCTGGATCATTCCAAACTGCTGTAAAAAAAGAGTTGCCAACCGCTTGTCTATATGCCCATTTAAGTCCCAAAAATGCCACTTATGCACAGGCTGGCACTCTATTCTTGCACACACAGCCATGCGCATATGCCAATCTGTGTGTAAGCCATATGCATGTGAATGGTTCTCAGAAATAGAGTGCCAATCTGTGTGTAAGCTGTATTTTTGAGATTTAGATGACCATGTAGATGACCAGTTTGCAGCTGCTCATGAACAAAAAACAAGATGAGGAACAGCTGACAAGGAAGAGGGGACACAAGTCAGCTGCTTCTTGGAGTAATTTTTCTTGGAATATGTTCACATGGTGCAGTGCCAGTTTTCTGCTCCTGAACTGTGACTGGAGAGAAAGACTCCCTTAACTTTTGAGAGGTATATCATCATCATCGCCTGCAAATAATAGAGAAAGTTCATATGTTCTGATAGAGGTGTTAATTGATATTAAGAAAAGTACTAGAATAGTATTTTGAGCGGTGTGTGGGGTTTCCAGTCAGCCAGAGGTGCCAAAGCATCTAGGCACATGCTGGCAGGTTGGAGTGACCCTGCACTGGCCAGCCAGAAACCCTGCATGCCTAGGGGAGCTGAGGCACCCTCTCATGGCTGGCTATGTGCAATTTCTGGTTTTGGGTAAGTTGTATGTGATCATAAAACAATGCTTGATTTTCCCCATGTTGAATGGGGGGGGGGTGGGGGGGGGGGGAAATCATCTTATAATTGAGTAAATATAGTATACCCATGTCCCGATTCAAAACATAGGGGCACCATACCAGTTCAAAGAATGGTTTCCAGGTATTTTTAATACAAGCCAAACAACCTGTTTCTGCCTTGTTCCCCAAAAAGACTTAAAAAAGAAAAAACACACAAAAACCTGATACAAGCACTTACCATGAAAAACTGCAGACTGGGTGGTTTAAGTTTGGCAAAGTTAAACTTAATACGAAATGACTTATAATGGGAAGTGAAAGAGAACCTTAATAATAGATGGTGTTATCAAGTCTACCTAGAAAACAATACTGAGCTATTCAGTAATATTGAATTTTTCTGATAATGGTAAGACTATGACTTTTTTGTTCATGTAAAAATTGCAAGTTCATTTTTCAGTAGGGCTAAAAATGTGATATATTTTATGGTTATATTAATAAATACAAGATGAGAGCATTGGGATGAAATCTCTACCACAGTATTTTCTTCATGCTATTTTCATGAGCATGAAATCTCCAATCCCAAGGCACTTTATTTGGAGTTAGTGCAATTTGTTCTACAATTTCTTTCACATTTATGCATGCAATATCCAGCCCTAAACAGTTCTGTGAGGCCACCACCCTCATCTTCTCATCCTTCCTCAGGATGAGATGCTTTTAATAAATCTGACTAATGATACTGGATTGACTGG